ATGTTTTAGCACATTGTTAGTATGTTTTAACATGTTGCTAATGTAATTTTGCATGTTTGGATCATGTTCAAACACATTACTAGCGTAATTGAACACAATGCTAGTATGTTTCTAGCATGTTTAGGTCATTGCTAGTATGCTGTAGCATGTTGTTAATAATACATACGCTAACAAGTTGTAGCATACTGCTAGTCTGTTTCTAGCATGTTTTGGCACATTGCTAGTATGTTGTAGCATGTTGCTGATAATATAAATGCTAACAAGTTTTAGCACATTGTTAGCATGTTTTAACATGTTGCTAATGTAATTTTGCATGTTTGTATCATGTTCAAACACACTACTAGCATAATTGAACACAATGCTAGTATGTTTCTAGCATGTTTAGCTCATTGCTAGTATGCTGAAGCATGTTGTTAATAAATATGCTAACAAGTTTTAGCATACTGCTAGTCTGTTTCTAGCTAGTTTTAACACATTGCTAGTATGTTATAGCATGATGCTGATAAAATATATATGCTAACATGTTTTAGCACATTGCTAGCATGTTCAAGCACATTTCTAGCATATTTTAGAACACAAAACTGGTTTGTTAAAACAATTTTCTATCATAATTTGACATGCTTCTAGAATGTTTTATTACATGACTAGCATAAGATAGCAATGCTAGTATGTTTCTAGCATGTTTTAACACATTGCTAGTATTTTTCAGCATGTTTGCTGATAATACATATGCTAACATGTTTTAGCATATTGTTAGCATGTTTTAACTAAACGCATTGCTAGCATGTTTAATCACATGGTTAGCATAATTTGACACAATGCTAGTATGTTTCGAGCATGTTTTAACGTTGCTAGCATTATGCTTCTGGCATTTTCTAGCACATTGCCAACATGATTTGGGGTTAAAGGCTGGAAAACATCAATATTTTCACACTGAGCTAATGGAGATGATGAACAATCCCTGTAATCTTAGGGAAAAAGATCTGGGAACTGGTTCCTGCGTTCCTTCCCAGAGTTCCCGGCTTGAGAAACCTCTCACATCCCTCTCGCACCTCGACTCAAACACGCACAGGTGTGTGTGTGTGTGTGTGTGTGTGTGTGTGTGTGTGTGCATTCCTGATGCCCCGCGTCACTGGACCTCTCCAGCGTTCCCTGCTCTCAATCAGGTCCTCTTGCCTGTTGCGTGTGCTGGAAGCGCCTGAAACTCTTCTGCAATATTACTGTGTTAAAGACATTATTAAAGGTGGAAGGAAAGAGTTGTAAATAATGCAGTTAAAGACAAACAGGCAACGTGAAGATACAAATAAGTCTTGTTTATAAATAATGGTTGAGTTGTTGTTTTTTATTTTAGTTAGTTGCCAAGGTAACGTTTTTTTTTTATCTTATATTTATATATATATTTAAATTAACACAGACTATTTTTAATACTGTTTCAGTATTTCGCAGGTTTACTTTAAATCCTCTTATTAAAGATGAATTTTTAGATTATAAAAAAAAAGTTCTGATGTTTTCAGTGTGTGTGTGTGTGTGTTAGCTTATATCACTGTCTGACAACAGCAAACGTTAATAATGGATGACAGTCTGACAGCTCTGGTTAGTTTTATCTGTTTTCCTCTCAACAGTCGTTCATTTTGCCTTGTGTGTGAGAGAGACTGGAATGTGTGTGTTCCATTAGGACATTATCTGAGGTCAGCGGCCACGTTCCTGTGTGTGTGTGTGTGTGTGAAAGAGAGAGAGAGAGAGTGAGTTTGTGTGCGTGTTTGAGAGAGAGTGAGTGTGTGTGTCTGAGAGTGAGTTTGTGTGCATGTTTGTGTGAGAGAGTGTGTGTGTGTCAGAGAGTGTGAGAGATAGAGAGAGAGTGTGTGTGTGTCTGAGAGTGAGTTTGTGTGTGTGTGTGAGAGAGAGTGTGTGTGTGTGTCTGAGAGTGAGTTTGTGTGAGAGAGAGAGAGAGAGTGTGTGTGTGTGTCTGAGAGTGAGTTTGTGTGAGAGAGAGGGTGCGTGTGTGTGTGTGTGAGTGAGAGAGAGAGTGTGAGTGTGTGGGATCAGGTCAGAGGTCATGGCCTGTAAATGTTTAGGATGGTGTGTAGGTGGAGGTGTCAGAGCTCAGCACGAGTCATTACACATCTGATCTGTAACACACACACGCCATCCCAAATAAACAGGGCTCTACATAGAAGACTGAAACTCCTGAGATTATATTTCTACTGATTTACTTTGTGCGATTTGTCTTACTTTATCCATCCAAGTTGCCTTTCATTTGTTTTTGAATATACTATTTTATATTTTATGTTTGTATTAAATTTAGTCACAATTAGTGTTAAAAAAGTGTGTTTATATATACACACACACACACACGAGGCGCGTGCAGCGTAATAACCGCGCGCGACTCAGCAGCATCTGATACCAGTGTTTATTGAGCCCAGAATAACCACAGACTCCTCAAGACACGCGCATGAGTTACACACACACACACACACACACACCCTTACAAGAACATGCTGCTCTACCGAATGGGATAGTGAATCTGAATCATACTTTTCTTAATATGCATAGGATACGTTACGATAGTGAATCTGTAAATGAGTATCGTGGATCTTAATATTCATTACGTTGCGCCAATGCAAATACCATGAATTCCAGCAGCCTATCCGAGATCATCTCTCCACATCGGACTGAGGCTCAGCCGGGCTCCCTGACTCCTGCATATATATATTACACTCAGTTGAGTTACTTCTGCACGCGCGGGTTGTCATTTCTGGTAGCCTACATTGTCCAAGGTTACATTGTGTCAAAACAAAAGTGTGTCAGAAGGTTAGATCTAAAAAGGAAGTAAGCTTTATTTAGTTATATTGTTAGATCTAGAATGGGAAGTCATGTAAAAGTTAGTCATAATATTAGACCCAATGGGGAAGTCAGGTAAAAGTTTATCATAAAGCTAGATCACCAAAAGGTCAGATTCTTAGGCTCAGAAACATGATATTAATTCTAAAAGACAGTTTACAATCTTTTTTATTAAAAAATCCACCACACTGTCAAATTCAAGGTAATGGGACTCAAATGTGTCTTTAAGGTGCTTAAAATGCTATGGCGCTACTAACACTAAAATAACTTAAAATGTACAATTTTGAGACTTAATCATTCATAAGTAAGTCTGTAAATACTGCTATAGGCGATTGTATCGTCGCGCAGAAGGGGGCGTGGCTGGCGCGTACGGGGCGTGCTTTAGAGGCGGGGCTTGTGTTTGTGGGCGGAGCTTGATGAGAGCGATAGTTTCTGCTGGACTCTATCAGTGTCTGTGAGCTTCACACTCGCTTCAGGAACTCATCATCTCTGATGTCTGGTCGTGATTCGGTCATGTAGTGTTTTAAACTATCCAGAGCGGCGGAGGATTGTGTTTTTCTACAGACTGAAGCAGATAGTTGGGGTTTTGGAGGATGTTTTTATTCATTCTTCTGTCAGCTCTAGTCCTGTGTGGATGTGCTCAATACTCCAGCGACCAGTGCAACTGGACAGGAAGGTGAGCCTTTTACATAGCCTTTTTATAGCCTTTATAAAGTTGTAATATATATATAAAGAAATGCAATAAAATGTTATCTTTATTTCTGTCCAGAGAAACTGCGTACAAAATAAATTGCTCATTAAAAGCAAGTCTTATTTTGTCATGAATTTTCTCGTTTGTTTTGCAACAATTTCTTTCATTTTAGACAACTAAATCTCTTTTGTTTTAGAAATGTGTGCAGGCAGAGAGTTTTTACATTTTAAAACTGGTAATAACCTTTAAGACTTGTGTATAAGAGGTTTAAATAATGAAACTGTGTGAGATGTGATGGGGAAGGTCCGGACATGCCCTTACTCTGGACATGCTCTGACACTTACTCTGATTCGCGAATCATTGTTCTTATAAACCAGAAACGATTCGGATTTTGAGCGTGAATTGTTGCTTCGCTTGGATTAGAACTTTTTTGGGGGCTAAAATTGTGGAGTGCTTAACATGTATGAATCATAAAATCGCATCTGGTACAAGTATTTAGGTATTTAAATATTTGATGGTCTTCGCGGATTTTAAAAGAACTGTCCGAATGTATCGATTCACTAGAATGAATCTGATCAGCGCTAAAACGAGTTGTTTGCAGAGAGAAACTGTGTTCCATGCATGTATGCAATGTTAAAGACTAAAGTCTTTGTTTATTGTTTTACAGAATTTATTTGTTTGTCTTGGTGAAACTTCTTTTTTTTTTTTTCAAATAGTTTTTATTTGTGATTAATACGTTCGGAGACATAGATTTCGGTGTCAACTTTTGAATTTGTTGCTTGGCCGAGCTAAATGTGGCAATTTATAATACAAGGAAACATAAAATTAAACGAAATGCAAGTTATAATTTAGAGGCAGCGTTTCTCAATTCAGTGAAATCTAGAATTTTAATCGATTTTCGGTATTTCAAAGCCATGAGTGATCTTGTTTCTTTTTATTTGATTTGGTGCAATAATCTTTGTGTGAGATTATGGATGACAACCTGCATTTTGCATCCCTCTTAAGATAATTTAGCCTTTTCTGTTCTGATTATTGTTTAACAGTGTGTTAATGACTGGACTGTTTATAAAGCGTTTTTAAAATTCTAATTCTCTCTCTCTCTCTCTCTCTCTCTCTCTCTCTCTCTCTCTCTCTCTCTCTCTCTCTCTCTCTCTCTCTCTCTCTCTCTCTCTCTCTCTCCATTGACTTTAGTGTTCTGGTTTAAGTAGCTGACTCGCACTTTTCCTTTCCTTTCAACTCCTTGATTTAACTCTTTGAATCAGACCGCGTGCGAATCTGGCCTCTATTATGCGCTCCGCGACTTAATGGACTCCAGAAAATGATTTAATAACGTTAATTAAAAGCAAGCCAGATGCATTTTGGGGTCATGTGTGCGGGGCTCGGCTCTTTTTCTCCGGAGGACATTTGGCACTGTTTTCAGAAACCAAACCCCGTCAGTTTAATTATAATGCCAAGTCATGAACCCCAGCTGTAGCTGTGAAGTTTCATCATTTACTCACCCATGTGTTGATCCAAACCCTCCATATTTGGTGGAAATACAGGAATACCATTAATTTGTGTTTTAGAATCAGCCAATCGGTTTTTAGACTTTTGATTTTGGATAAACTCAATGGATGAGTCATCGAATCCTGCTTTTTAGGTGTTGTTTTTGAGGTCATAATCTTTCAGAGAAGTCGTGCTGTTCACCAGGTGAAGAGTGTAAATCTCAAAGCCTCCAGTCCAGCTGAAACAGACACAAACACTGTAATCATCCCTAAATACGCCAAACCACAACCACTTGAAAGCGCTGTGGCGGGGAAAATGCAAATGTCACATCTGGATGACAGCTTGTGTGATATCGTTCATGTGCACATTACCCTTCGTCTCCTATCATGAGCTTTCTCAGAGACTTCAGGTTGACTTAAAATCCCACAGTTTCGACATCCGATCTCTCCTCGTGTGTCTGAAAGCTCTTGGAGATGAGGAGGAGGTCATGAGTGGACAAGAATCCCAATTTGTCAAGCCCTCAGATTTATGGGTCATTTTACAAACGAGAACCTCTGTGTTGAATGAGAAGCGAGACTCAACTAAGGCCCTGTTCACTCCTGGTATTAAGATGTGTTGTGGCCGATCGGATCACGAGTAGATGAGGGACACGTTCCCGTTTACACCTGGAGTTTTAAAAATCAACTGTGGCGTGTAATGCTGTCAAATCACCAGCCAATTTGGCATGTGATTATGTTTACTCACTTTGCTGGGGAAGTTCATGTAAGCCAGATATGCTCAGATTTAGCGTAAATGCTCATGAGTCATCATAATATATTAAATACAGCGTACTGTGCAGAATCTCCGCATATCTGGCTTACTTGAACATGACCGACACTACGAAACAAATAACGGCACGCTTGTTCTTTTGCATTGAAGCAAAAACGAAGATTAAAAAGCATTTGGTTAACAGAAAATACATTATTTTCCAACATCCTACATTTTTTTTAATGTTCTTTGCACTGGATTGATCTGTCCATCTTAAAGACATTTTTGGTGAAAAGGATGAGGATGAAAGAGGTATAGGGAAGAGATGCTGGATGACAGGATTTTGTTTGAATAAGAAAGTAATGTATGAAATTCAAATTTTATAATATATAAGCTGTCACTCAAAAAAAATGATATGTTGGCTTTAATTAACTTTTTTATGTCAACAGGATGCACATAACTGGGTTACGTTAAACAAACATAATTTGGTCATGTAACTTCAACACACTCAAATAAATGATATGTTGGCTTAATTAACTTTTTTATGCCAACAGGATGCACATAACTGGGTTGCGTTAAACAAACACTGAACACTGAAGCAGTGAAGCAGATAATTAAGTGAATAATTGAGTGATGATTGAGCATTATTGAAGACACCTGATGTTAACAAGCAGAATCACTGAAGGAGAAAACCGGAATTTCATGTCACCATTATGGAGATCAGTGTGTGTTTTAGTTGGACTCTTGACCCACACATTATTAACTTTTGATGATGTTTGGCTGCTGTACATGAGTTATAACAGCCAGATGATCAATTAGAAAAGGTGGTCTGATGGTGTTGGTTGTCTTTTAACATAATCATTATATCACAATCATTTGACCTGAATCACTGAACTCGTATAAAACCCAATTTCTGAGTTAAGTTTACCTTATGGATTATATCAGCACTGCCATTGTAGAGCATACCATTTATAGCCTTTTCAATGGAATCCAAATGATCAAATCAATAAAAAAGAAACAAAACGAAACTTCTAAAAAAAAAGAAAAATGTATGTAGGCACACACAGACATCAAGACACACACTGTGAATCTCAACAATGGTGACAATTATAAAGCATGTTGCAGTGCATTCTGGGTGCCAACAATCAAAACTCATTCATGGCTCCTATTATGCATTTCTGCATGAATAAATAATGAGCTTATGTTCAGAGGTGATATGTTTGTCACCATTGCTGAGATTCATACGCTAAATATTGATGTCTGTGTGTACTTGCACACAAATGTTTTTTTTGGACGTTTTTTATTTTTATAGATTTGATCATTTGGATTTCATTGAAAAGGCTAAAAATGGTATGCTCTACAATGATAGTGCTGCTATAATCAATAGGGTAAACTTAACTCAGAATTTGGGTTCTATATGAGTTCAGGTAAAATGATTGTGAAATAATGATTATGTTAAAACACAACCAACACCATCAGATCACCTTTTTTATTTGTTCATCTGGCTGTTATAACTCATGTACAGCAACCAAACAAAATCTAAAGTTAATAAAGTTAATTGTGAGGGTCAAGAGCCCAACTAAAACACACACTGATCTCCATAATGGTGACTTCAAATTCTGGTTTTCTCTTTCAGTGATTCTGCTTGTTATCATCAGGTGTCTTCAATAATGCTCAATCATCACTCAATTATTCACTTAATTATCTCATTAACTTTAACACTGCTTCAGTGTTCA